GTGTGTGTGGGTGGGGGGGGGGGGTGTGTCTGTTAAGCTTGCCTTTTTCTGGGTCACAGACATCCCAGACTTGTGGGTCCCAGGGAAAACCCTCATTGCTGCCAGTTAACCAAAAACCAAGGACAGTTAGGTTGAACTAGTCCCTGGGAGTCATTGTGCCAGTACCACCACAAGACAGGTTCAAAAGATTTTACTCAAACTGGTTCACGGTACCAAAGCCCAAAGGGGGTATTCGTTCTGTTCTGGATCTAAAATCAAAATTTCTTCAAAATCCAAAATTTTGCATGGAATCTGCGTATCAGTGATTACTTCTCTGAGACAAAGGGAATATATGGCATCTGCAGATTTCAAAGATGCCTATACACATGTTCCCATTTACCCATCTCATCAGCACTCTCTGCACCACTTCCAGTTTGTTGCACTGCCCTATGGCCTAGCCTCTGCTCCCTGAGTGATCACAAAGGCCTTAGCCCCTCTGCTTGCCATGCTCCGAACTAAGCCTCCAAGTCACAAGCTGTTTAGAAGACCTTCTTTCGGAGGACACATCCTACTTGCAGAAAATATCCACAAGATAATTTAGATGCTCTAGGCCTTTGGTTGTGTGATCAATTTGAACAAATCTGTTCTCCAGCTTTCTCATTGCTTGGATTACTGGGTCTGTCAGTCAGCGGTTCTCTGATTTGCCCCTTCAGTACTTACTGGAGTGCCAGGCTGTGGAGGGGGCAGGAGCGGCTGTCTCAGGATCACAGCGGCAAACTGAGATGCTCAGCCAGCTGCCAGTTAGCTATCTGGATGGATTCCAACATTATTATCCTTGCAGAGCCTGCTTCAGCTCTGTGAAATCAGCCGGCAGCAGGGTTTAGCCTGCTGTTGGCTGAATCTGGGTCACAGGTGTGCATAAATAAGTGCACTCCTGTGATCCACATGAGAAGTATGGCCAAAAAAGCTTTGACCATGCTTCCCATTTAGGCGATTCCTGTGGTTACATTCTAGGAATGGTCAACTGGAAAGTGTATTATCTCAGCCACCATTGCCTGGATCATGGGGAATGGGCCCATAATTCCAGATATTTTCAACCTGATATGCCAAAAAATGGGATAGTCCGGATGTAAAAATTCTGGCCTCCCAGATTCAACAACAAATTACCTCTGTCTGTTGCTAGAAGCAGGGATCCTCTAGCCTCCGATGTCTTGATAATCCCCTGCTCTCAGTTCAGGCTAATTTACTCCTTTCCTCCAGTGCTAATCCTACCTCGCCTGCTCAATAAAGTAGAGCAAGAAAGGAAAACTGTAATTGATTGCATCAGACTGGCCCAGAAGAAGCTGGTACACAGATATACTCGGGCTTCTAGCAGATGACCACTTCCCAACTGACAAAAACTGCTTCCTACCTTGCTAAAACCAGGAAAAGAACTCTCAGAAAGATATATTATCACATCTGTAAATCTTTTTTTTGCCTGGTGTGAACACATGCACTTCAGTCCTAGAGATTACTCTGTAAACTCTCATTCTGGCCTTCCTACAATTAAGTATTCACCAGAAATTGGCTTTAACCACTTCCTGTCCGGACACTTTTACCCCCTTCCTGTCCAGGGCAATTTTCAGCTTTCAGCGCTATCACACTTTGAATGACAATTGCGCGGTCATACAATACTGTACCCATATGAATTTTTTACCATTTTTTTGAGACAGATAAAGCTTTATTTTGGTGGTATTTATTCACCGCTGGGATTTTTATTTTTTTTACTATGTAAATGAAAAAGTCCAAAAATTTTGAAAAAAAGTTTTTTTTTAATAAAATTTTGCAAATAAATAATATTTCATCCTAAATCTTGGCCAAAATTTATTCCGTTATTTTTTTAGTAAAAAAAAAAAAATCCAAATTAGTTTATAACCAAACATTATCATTTTTAAACATTTTTTTTTACATTTTTATTTTATTTTTTTATATTATTTTTTATTTTTACATACTGTCACCCTAGCAGTACAGTGTCACCATGGTGACACTGTACTGCTTGTGGGGGGTGATGAAGATTTTTTTTTTTTTTTTTTACACTGATTGCTTTTACACCCATATAGGATGTAAAAGCAATCATTTCTCTTTCTCTCTGTCTGCATTCTTGCAGTCATTGAGAAATACTGAGTGAGCTGTGATTGGTCACAGCTTGTCACATGGTACAAGGCTGTTGTGAATAGCCTTGTACCATGTGACCTCTGTGATCATTCACAGATTTCACACGTAGTAAGCAATGATGTCACAAGTGACATCTTGCTTACTACTTTGCATGTGATCACTGATTCGCCAATCAGTGATCACATGACCGGGACCTCGTACAGAGGTCCCGTCCGACGATCTGTGTTTCACTGTGTCCGGAGGACACAGCGGACACCGGATCGCAGTGGTGCGCGCTCCTAGGGAGCGCGCACAGCTAGAAAAGGCGGGTGCCGTTTAGGAACGGCAACCTGACCTTGGACTGCCACCGCCCTGCCGTTTATAAACAGCAGGCGGACGGCAAGAGGTTAAGTACTCTTAAAGGCCAAGCCTCTGCCTTATCAATTCTTTTTCAAAGACTTTTGACATCATTCTCCCTTGTAAAAAAAAACCTTTCTTCAAGCTATATCTTGTATTATGCCCCCCTTGCAGCACCATGTTCTTCCTTGGGATCTCCAATTATCTCTGCCCTGCAGAAACCACACTTTGAAACCTATCAATCGTATCCGCATAGAGGATCTGTCATGCAAAACAGCCTTTTTGGTCACTATAATGTCTTCCAAAAATATTTCTGAACTTGTGGCAGTTTTCTTATACTTGACAATTACAAGGTTGTTTTGTGCCTAAGGCCATCCTTTCTACCGAAGCTGGTATCAAGATTGCACTTTAGTGATGACATAGCCCTCCTATCCTTATGCCGTACTTTTAAACATCCAGAGGACATGTCTGTACATTGCCTAGATGTGGGCAGAACTATCAGAGTATACCTCAAGACTACTGCTCCAATCAAATGAGCAGATTCCCATCTCTGGACCTCGCAAGGGCCACCCTGCTTTAAATCTACCATTGCACGATGGACACAAACTCTGAATGCAATAGCTTACATTCTCAAAAAGACATCTCTTTTGCTTTCATGTGCTTATTCTACCAGATCGGTGGGGGTTTCCTGAGTATTTCAGCACAAAGCCTCTGTACCCCAGTTGTGTAAGGGCTCTACCTGATCTTCCATTCGTACTTTTTTAAATTGTAATTAGTTGCAAGTACAATCTTCTGCTGATGCAGCTTTTGGCCACAAGGTTTTTGCAGAGAGTCTCTGAGTTTGGGTCTTCTGACTCGTTGTTGGACCCCTTGGCATAGTTCTGTTTTCCTCATTGTTACTTACCCTTCCTATTCATTGCTTGGGGATGTCTCAAAGTGTATGAGTAATCTGCCTGTGTCCTGTATTGTACGATTAAGATGAGAGGAATTTTGACTTGCCTATTTCCATATCTTTTGTTCAGGATACAGGCTATTCTCCCTTGCATTCCTTGGTTTACTCTCCATTGCTTGTTAAAATCAGATGACTTGCAAAGTGGGGTTGGGTAGGGTTATAGGGGAGATGCCCAAGGGGACATGTCCTCTAAAGCTTTGTAAGTGTCCAGTCACCTCAGTCCGGATTCACACCAATGCAGTGCAGGTAATGCTGCTAATCATGTGCTTTTCTCACTCCGCATCACATTAATGCAATCTGGTACGGGTGTTGATGTTAAATTAATGACACCCAAATACAATGTACCCATGCAATGCGATTCAAGTGTGGATTTAAAAAGGGTCCTGCACTTTTTTGGTGTGGATGTGATGCAATTTGAGCCATACAAAATGTATGACTCAAATCGCACTGCACAGACATTTGCATGTAATTCACACACAAATGCGGTGTGATTCCTGTGCGAATTACATGCGGTGTCCCGCACTACATAGTGTGAACCCGGGCTAAAGGTGCACGTCTATAACCTGTGGTGTGTGAATATTTTACCTGTGTCCTGTACTATATTCCAAGACATGGAATTTAAAGGTCTACCACCAGGTCCCCTGCATCCTTCAGTAAATGAAGCATAAATAATTTAATCCTGGTCTGCTTTTCGCATATTAAATCCCTAAACTGGGGCTTAATAGGTTTGTTCCATTTCTGCAGAAGCCATACTTAGGAATGGTGTAGGATATACAACAGTTGAGGGTCTCAAACCGTTATGGGTTTTACCTTATCAATTACTGTTAAGTGTAGTCACTTTAAGTATGTATTTGCCACAAACCTGGGCTTCAAGCTGATCGTATAAAAAAAAAAAAAAAAAGAAATGTTAATACAGAGAGGGCTCCCTTAATGGAAACATCATAGCAAACTAATCAGGATATACAGGCAGCTGAAATATTTTTAGATTAATCTTCACTTCTGTAAAAGACAAACTTGGTCCCACTGTGGCTCCCTGTTGAATAGTCTAAACCAATGCAGAGATTTATTTAATTAGTAGAGATGGCACACTGACTTATACATGAAAAATGGGCATTTGCTATACCACTATATTTTCACATTTGTTTTTCATTGACCGCAACCTGTGATCAAGCATTTTTCATTGTGTGCTCAGTCTGAAAGGTTTGGGTTATAACTGTTTTGGTCTGTAAGTTGGATTGGTAGTCACCTTGTACACCTGGCTGCCAAGCCAATTAAATACCTCACAACTGCATGCACCGGAATCCAAACACAGAATGAGGTGTTCCATGGTCCAAGAAACTAACCTGTCTGAGTCAATGTGAAAAGGATGTTGCAGAACTGGAATTCTGTATTAAGAAACTGCAGTTCTGCTTGAAAGCATTGTGAAAAACCTACTGAATCTCACTGTTAAGATTATATTCAACTGGAGTGGATATACTGATTCAAATGCAGATCCATTGTTTCCTGAATTTGCATTAGCAGTTCTTTGACTTTGTGTTTTTCCGAAGTTTTTTAACAAGCATATATTGTTTGCTTACAGATGCTCAAAGAAAAGTACCTTAGCTACCGGAAGACATTCTTGGGTGATTCCACTGATGTATTTGAGGCACGGAGAGCTGAAGCCAAGAAGTGGCAAAGTGCCCCTCGCATAACCACCGGGCCCACACCCTTTGGCAGTGTACCAAACGCAGCAGCTGTGGCGATGGCTGCAACCCTGACCCAGCAGCAGCAGCCTGCTACAGGTCTGAATGCATTCAAGTTCTAGATAACTTAAACCAATTCTATGATCCTTAAATTTATTTCAGCTCTCAAACTGGGTCTTCCTAATTTGTACTAAATACAGCTTTTAGAATAGACAGGGTTTAGTCTTTGCAATAATTATACCTTTTAAAGGAAATATTTTGCTGTCATTGGAACCTTATTTTAAAGTGGCACTATACTCAAATGTTACCTAAAAGTAGAATAGCACCCAGTACACAACCCTGGTCTGTTTTTCATCTCTCTCTTATCTCTAAATTAAAATGCCTAAATCAGTTCAGTAATACGTACTGGTCAGCATATCTGGACATGTTCTATCCTGATATTCTTTCATTCACTGCAAAACAGGTCAGGGTCTGTGTCAAGGCAATGCTACCGATTGGCTGCAATGGCTTTCCTGGAGAAATGCTGCTTTAGAACTACTTCTATAACCAAAATGCTTTTTTTGTGATAGTGTGATCTCTGCTAGAGCGGAGAATCATTCAATCTGAGTTCTGATCTTTCTGTTAAATAGAAATCACATACACCATTGGTGTATGTGATTTCAGTATTGGAGTGAGCCTGCAGCAGACTTTTCTCCAGAAAAGTACGGTTTTAGCTCTTGTGTATTTTCTTTATGTATACATCCTAACAGAAACACTGAAATAGCATTATGTTTACATTTGAGTATAAGTCCATATGAAAACAGATTTCCAGAAAACCTGGAAAATCTCAGTCTTGTGAGATATAATGGACATTGGTCCCCTGCTGCTCTTGAGCTTTCCTGTGCTACAATTAACATCTTTCATTATCTGCCTGATGGTGACATTCAGAATTCCACTGCAATCATAAGCTATAATCGTGTCAGTGGGAACCACTGTTTTACCTGGTTTGATTCCTGTATGATACATGATGTAATTTAATTTTTCACAATAGAGTTGTGTGAAATGGGGACTGTTTAAATTATATTATATGGAGCGGCCAAGAGAATTTTCTGGAAATTCCTATACTTTGTAATAATGCCTGTTTTCTAATGTCTTTAGTTTCTTTGCTGGAGCTACTAAAACGTGGATGGTACACTGACATGAAACTAACATCCTCCATCCTTTAGATTTTCTTCGATCACAAACTTTTCCAGCTCCAGATGCTTGTCACCGTGACTTATTTAAAGGGCTAAAATCCCAAATGATAAGCCATAAATTAGTTTGTCAGATCCGGTCTTTCATTTTCCTATACTACAAAGAAAGGACTTTGTTGCTGTGCAGAATGTTGGAGACAAATCTTCATTCACGTAAATGAGGCTTATTGTGCCAACTTTTGACTGTTACTCTGTCTCTTGTGAGGATGATACATTGCTGTAACCTGTCTCTCAAGAGAGATAAGGTACTTTAGAATATGAGCGACCTTGTGGTGTCATCTAACTGCATGCACAAAGGGCAATTTTTTCCTTTTATTTTATTGGAGGATCTCTCAGGAAACTAGACTGTGTCTTGAAAATCTGGAAATGACGGCTTCATTCAGAGATCTCCGAGACTGTATTTAATCCCCTCTGAATGCAGAGAAATGTTTAAAGGAAACCTGTACTCTAGGAAATATGTACCCTGCCATTGCTGTACTTTTCTTCTGAAAATGCTAGCTTGCCCAGCTGTGACACTAATTTGGTGGCTTTTTGCTTTGAATCGTGGACCTGGAACAGTGTGCTAACTTTTACTTGCTGCATTCTTGTCTGTGTTGAAGGCAGAAATTAAAGGAAAACCACCGATGATTAAACCCAGTGACATGTTTCATGTTTTAATGAGACATGATGAATGCTGGGGTTGATTTACAAACGACTGAATAGTGCAAAATTTGGGGCAGCTCTGCACAGAAACCTTTTCATTTATGTTTTGTTTTTTTCTTTTCTTTTTCAAAGCTTAATTGAACAAGCTGAAGTTAGAAGCTGATTGGCTACCATGCACAGCTGCACCAGATTTTGCTCTCTTAAGCTTTAGTAAATCGGCCCCAATGTGTTGAAGACAGACTGAGAGACAACTAGCATTTTCATTACATCATCTGCAGTGGCAGTCTTTATATTTCTCCAACACGTTGTCTTTACCAGACCAGAAACAAGTTAGCCTTCCTGAATGGCCCTTAAAGACTTTATCCACCCAAAAGTGAGATTTATATATTCGTAGAGAGATTAGTGGGCTAAGTCAACCCGTAATTTCTTATGGCTTGGCCTCTGCAATAGTGGGATCTCTCCTATTGTGGCGTTTTTTCTGTTGTATAATATTAATGTTGTATAATATTAATGTAAAAATCTTAACGGAGAGTATGGCTATTGTTGCTGTGACAGCAGTTCAGACCCAGGAAGTCAAGCGCAAGAATTTCACCAAGAGATTCCTTTGAGAGATTTTATGAACTGTCAGGGATTTTACTCTCAAACATATGCTACAAAATGGAAATATCAATTTTGGGTGGGCTAACATTATAAGTCATTCATTGAAATGTCTGTGGCCTTCCTATGCCTTAATAGGAGCTGTGAGGACAGATGTTACCAGTCACAGCCAAGGCTCCAGTTGGGGCTGAGGGCTTCTACAGCTTCACTCCTGAAAGTGACACTGGTTCCAAACTGCTTAACTCTGCAATGTAACACAATGCCAGTATGATCACTGCCTTGGTTGTGCTAGGTAAAAGCTGTCCTGAAAGGTTCTGTATAATGCCTTTTTGAGTAAATGACCATAGATTATCTTTTCTCTAGCACAGTTTTTTGCAAATAAACTGAAGTAAAGCAGAAGGTTAAGATGCTTCAGCTTCTAAGACTACAGATATCTGTTTGCTGTGTTTGCTGTTCATGGACCTGCTGTTTGCACAGTAATAAAAAAAAAGTAATAAAATAATGACACTAATCAGGCAGGATTGTTATGTTAAAATGTGATCCATTTTGATGGCAGCCAATTTTGAAATGTAGCAGAAGAGTGTGCCTTGTGTCTCTAGCCAACAAAATGGTTGCTTTCATTTGTGGACAAATTAATATAGAACTGAGAAGCAAACTGTTTTTAGGAACCTATAGACAAGAATATAGAAAACATAGCTACACTGTTTTCTTGGTGGCTCTGCTATCTTATATCTTTTACAAACAGGTACACTTTATACTAGGGTGCAATAGCATCTAGGTTGTTAATGCACTGATAACATTAGAAATGGTGCCTTATTTGGGGTATTTGGAAGCTATCTTATACAAATACATGGAGGACATGCAAACTCCATGCAGATACAGTCATTTGAAAAAGAAAGTACATCCCATGGAAATTGTTGACTTTTTCAACATGTTTGACAGGCAGACATTAATTAGATCTCGATTTGAAAAGGTGTCTACAGATAAGTGGTCTACTTGAATAAATGACACATAACAATAACATGCTGTATTAATTATCATTGTCTAAATGAATAAAAACACAGATTTGTCATATGAAAAAGTAAGTTCAGCCCTACATTTACCACCATTTCAAATGAAAGCAAAACTCTACCCATAACAAGTGTTGTTTAGCAAGGAACATACATTCCACATGAATAATTATGTTACCAAAATTAGTTTGTGCTGTAAACTGCCTCCAGCATTGTTCCTGTGTCTGCTTGCAGGAGGCTGCCATTTTGCTGACACCCAGAGCCCTTGAGCAGCAGTAAATAGGCTGTCAATAGATTGGCCTCTGTTGGCTTTGTTTTTCAGTACAGTGCCAAAAAAATAGAGCGAAACTGAGCATGTGCAGAGCAGGGTTAGACAGTGCATTAATGGATTTTAAACAGTATAGGCACTTATTTTTAATGTTTTACATAGCTATACCTGCAAAAGGGGTGTAATGCAAACAAGTCACACACAATACACAGGTACATTTAGCCAGCACTTGCACCATAAATTATTCTAAGCATGTGAGAGACTCACTGCCAAATGAACACCTGCCCTGGCATGTAATAGCATTCACTTCACACCCCAATAAATAACAGAATCCAACTGCAGTACTCTTGCACTGTCAAATCTCTACTTTTATTATCGCACAACACACAGGAGGATATATCTTATAGTCCTCACAATCTGCATAAAAAACACACACCAATAATAATGTGAGCATTACAGCATGAAATAGACACATCTTTTGACAGTGTCACAGCATAGAATTAATACATTGCCAAAGCTATGGGAAGGAACAGACCCCATCGGAACCATAATGCACAGGGGGTCACGGAGAAGCCTTAAACACGACCAGTTCGATGAGCCCATATAGCCTTGGCAAAAATCCCAGCGTCAAAGTGTGCCTTTTCGTAAAGGAAGGCCCCCAATTTGACCACGTTCAGGCCCCTCATTATTTACCATGTTTCTGGCAACTTTTCCGAAATGGGTGGGCGCCATGCTCACTCCAGGAGGAGTTAGCAGAAAGGTTCCGTTAGTCACACCCAGCCACTTTACTGGCAAACAATGTCTTATCTCGTAATATCACACTTTTGCCACAAATCAGCTTCTTATCTACCCTTAACTTAAAGATTTCTAACTTCTTAAACAAGTAAACATTTTTAAATTCACAAACCAGTTCTTATCTAATTTAAGCAGTCTAATGTAACATTTTTAGATGTCACAAACACGTTCAATCTCACAAACACTTCTTATCTGCTTTAAGTAGTCTAATGTCTTGTGACTCTGTTCCTTTAGCCTAGAGAAATGACATTGATGTCCTTTTCTCGTGCTTCTGGCATATGGGCAAGGATATTTTATTGTAAAAATTCCCCAAGAAACAAAGGGCCCAAGGCCAAAACATTTCATGGGCATTACAAGGGGGCAGCCTGAAGTGATCTACAGGATCACTAAAGGCTGAAGGTTTTTTTTTTTTTTTTGCCTTTTATGCATGAAGGTAAAAAAACCCTTCAGTGTGAAACTCCCCCCACAGCCCCCCTAATACTTACACCCGATTGCAATCCAGTGCTGTTCATGAGAGCAGCTGCTGTCCAAGGTCTCTCCCTCCTCATTGGCTCA